AAGAAAGTAGAAGCAATAACACTTGGTAAAAAATTTCTTCATTTCATTCACTTCAAATTTACAAAAGGTTGAAGCCACTACAAAATAAGCCCTACTCTACGAAAGGTCCCTCCCCGCCAGCCTCTGCCTCGCCAACCTCGGGAGTTGGAGCATCCTCTACCAGCCTATCAGGCCGACCTCCAGTAGGTTTCCCGAACTCTGCCTCTAAAGAGGAGATGTCCAAAGTAGGGTGGACCTCTTTCAGCCGACCCAATATGCCTTGGGCACTCCAGGAGGCCCAGAAATTCGCAAAGTCGTCGTACAGGGGATGTTCCTCAAAGTAGTCAATGAAATTCTGAACAGCCACTTCCCCTGCCGACTTCAGCTCCTCCTTCAAAGAGGCAATTTCCTCAGACTGGGCCTCCGTCCTCTACCTTAGCTCAGCTTTCTCTTTATTAGAGGCCTCCAGAGCCTCCGTGGTGAGTTGGTGGTGCTCGTTGGCATGGTCCACTCTTCGGGTCATGGCAACCACCTGACACTCCACTTCATAGAGCTCATTCTTCAGCCGCTCTATGTCTCCAGCAGTAGCCGCCTGCTGGGCCTCAGCCTCCATCCTCCTCTTCTCCTCTTCCACAGCCTTGGCTCGGGCCTCCCTCACCTTGTCCCCATACTGCATCGCCTCCTCAAGGCGCTTGGCGAGGTCCTCCTTCTTGGCGTTTAGGTGCTTCACCAAGCCCTCGAGCTGAATGCTGGTGCTCAGAGCCTGGGCCACACATGCACTATTGACCGCCACCAGGTCTTCGGCTGTGCAAGAGGCGGTATGGTCCCTCCATTCTTCAGTCCAATATTTGTTGTGGACCATCGCCACTGCAGTCGTTTCTGGAGGCAAAGCCTCCAGTACTTCTTTTACGGGCTCCACGGAGTTCTAGCCCAGGAAGTCCACTTCCTTGGAGGGATGGGCTCTTTTCTTCTAGGCTATCCCAGTACCTGGGCGATAGTGACGGCAGCAACTGGCGCCCTCGCCGAGGCAGGTGAAGCCTCTGATGGCCCAGACGTTCTCTCTGGAATGGCCACCCCGGTAGGAATTCTGGTTTGCTTCAGAACGGGGAGTGGCCTCGCCACCGTTGGCCGCTTGGAAGGGGTAGCAGGTTTCTTACCCTTCCGAAGCAGGTTAGCTTAAGGATCCTCAGGCACCTCCTCCTCCGTTGGGGGCGGGAGCCTCTTGCTGGCATCCACTAAATCCTCCATCTGCTTCTTGTAAGAGAAGGATGAGGTCTTCAAGGCCCTCGCCTCGGCCATTGTCTTCTGTATCGTTTTGAAGTCGGGCCGGAGAGGCATCTTCTTATTGAAGTTATCTGCAAGAAACAAATAAATTACTACAAGTGTAAACGACTCAAAAATTTTCAAAGGTATTTGCTTCGAGACGTTACCTTGTGAGGCCATTAGGTCGTGCGTCACAAAATGGAGGTTCTTCCTGATCAACCGATGGAACGACCTCTTCTTTGGAGGCAGCTGATAGATCACGCAAACGATCTCGAAATTGTCTGAGGACAGCTCGCACCAAGAAAGAGTGCCTTCAACATATGAATACGAGTGTTAATTATAATCCGAACCGAAGAGAATAAAGAAGAAATACAGTTAAAATACTCACTAAGTGTTGAGTACTTCGTGGGGACCGTAAGAGGTGACAGGGGGTTTCCCTCCATCGTGTCCCATCTCCTGGCAGCCCAGCACCACGAGCTCTTCCACTCCTTGATGGAGCTCGGCAGATCGAGCACGAATGGAGTGTGGAAACCCCAAGAGGTTAGGTAATACCAGCCCCTGGTCTTATCCCTCCCGGCTGTTACTTTCGGAATATAGAGGGTCTGAAAAACTGAGAAGGACATCTCCACTCTTAGTGACGCCTCTTTCCATAACATCCAGGAGCCCACCATCTGGCTCCAGGAGTTCAGATTTAGTTGGTCGGTGCTAAGTCATAAGACCTAAGCACCATCCGAAAAATAGGTGAATTGGAAGCCCAAGGCCAGCCCTAAGGATCGTCTCGCTTATCGCTACACATCCAGGCCTAGGGTAGCAGGCCCTCTCGTCAGGCTCGAGTAGGATCAAGTCTATGCTATCAGGTATCCTATATTCGGTCCTAAGTCTTTTTAGGTCGGCCTCCTTTAGCTTGGAGGGGTAATCCGACGCCCTCTAATACACAGAGGTGTCTACTGGGCTATCCAACCTCTTCCAAATATTCTCCCCCCTAATATCGTCTCGGCTACTTCGGAGGAGGTTGCCACAATGGGCTTATCCATCCGTACTAACTCCAGCCCCCTCCCCGAACTAGCACCACCCTCGAAGGCCATTTTCAGAAAGGAAAAATATCAAAATAGTTACTAAAACTTATGAGTTTGAGTGTTCCCCAGCCGAAAATGGTCAAAAAGTGGAGTGTGATCGCTGGAAAATCAAAGTTCTCGTCGAAAATGCTTGAAGAATGCCGAAAATCGCAAAGAGATTTGAGAGCAATGGGGCTTTCTGTTTTCGCAAGAGTAAAAAACTCCAAAAGTGCTCAACTCCGCTTTTTATAGAGCACTCCAACTAATCTCCACCGTCAAATTCAAATGCAATTAATCTAGGTCGTCCGTCACACCATCAATCTAGGTCGTTGAAATGAAACGCCATATTTGATTTAGGCCTAAGATTTTGCTGTGACTCTCACGCTCGCATATAACGCGTCGCCTCGATCACCACCAGCCGTCAACAATAAGTAGTTGCAGCAGCCTTTTAGGGGAATGGGCGCTGTACCCAACTGTCACCTTGAAAATACGCAACAGTTGTCAAATCATTTACGTCATATACGCCCGCCTCGGAATGACCTCCTCACTCAACTTTATAAAGTTTAGGTGCACCTGACGCGAAGTCCTCCTTGGGTCATCGTCTCGGTCGCTGCATTCTCCCTGAAGCTTTAGAAAGTTTTAGCCATCTCAACGCGTCGTCCCTTGTAGGTCAGCGTACCGGTTTCAGATGAACTCCTCACTCAACTTTACAAAGCTTAGAAGCACCTGACGCGTAGTCCCCTGTGGGTCATCGCCTCGGTAGCTGCGTTCCCGCCTAAGCTATACAAAGTTTTAGCCATCTCCCAACGCGTCGTCCCCTTTGGGTCAGCACACCGGTGGCAGATGAGCTCCTCACTCAACTTTACAAAGTTTAGATGCACCTGATGCGGAGTCCCCTGTGGGTCATCACCTCGGTAGCTGCGTTCCTGCCTAAGCTTTCAAAGTTTTAGCCATCTCCCAACGCGTCGTCCCCTGTGGGTCAGCGCACCGGTGGCAGATGAGCTCCTTACTCAACTTTACAAATGTTAAGTGCACCTGACGCGGAGTCACCTATAGGTCATCGCCTCGGCGCTGTGTTGACCATCTCCCCACACATCATCTAGCTCGTTAGCACCTCGACCTCGCATTAATTTTTCCCTCACACAGTGGCGAGGATTTAGCGCATATGCCTATGATCCACGCTTCGGTAAACACAGAAAATCGACCCTCGGGTTCTCACAAATCACGATCCCCATCTCGAGGCGCATATACCCGATCGGGAAGACAAGTCCGCCCATGATATAAATATTCATACCTGGACTTGGAGGACCACTGTTATGCCCCGAACTGAAGCCACGTCAGGTGAGGTATCTAACTCTCATACGAAGTGGTTACGCCCCGAACTGAAGCCACGTCAGGCGAGGTATCTAACTCTCATACGAAGTGGTTCCACTTCGGAAAGTCCACCATCACGTCAGCTGATGTGTGAAACGCTCATACGAAGTGGTTCCAAAGTGGTCCCCCTGAATGGTTCCAATTGAGGTGATCTGCTATCACACTACGAGGCATAGGTAATTCTGCAAAACTCGCCAAAGCGACCCATCCCCCTGAATTCGAGGTGAAGCGATCCCCTGGACCTCGGCCTGAAGATCCGTCGCTGATTTCAGGATGAGATATTTGTCAAGATTTTTTCTGCCCCTAAGGTTTAAAGTGATGTGACGTCTCCATGAGGCTAGTTGATGTGACCTATCAACTTTATGTCAACTCAACTTAGGAGAAGTCACTTCCCGCCCACTCTACAGATGCGGTTGATTGACGCCTATGAGCAGACGCCTCATACCGTTCAGATGTATACACGTGTCTCACATCCAATGGCTCTCCTCGCCTATAAATAACCAAGGTTTGGCAAGAGTTAAAGCTAATGAAACTCTTTCTATTTAGTACTCCATAGCAAGCAAATAAATATTCTCCTCCCCACTATTTTGCACGACCTTGGTACTATTTCGATCACCTGAGCCTAACTTGACCGTCGAAGTGTATACGGTCGCCACCACCCTCACTGGTCCCGATCGTGTGCATCTGACCATGCGTTGATTGTGTGCAAAGAAAAATACGTGGAGTGGCTATCGATTGACCATATAGAGGGTTCAATTTCCGAGGTCAACATTGCCCGACTACTACGACAGCAGAATTGTGGGACAGCAACTTTAGGTCCTCGGGTATCATCACTTTGAGAAATACACTTTCTGTCGCATCAATATTGATTATATAACTTTGACTTAAATTAAAATCAAATTTTATTCGGGTCGAACAAGCTCAGCAATTTCCGTTAAAGAAATCAATCCTGGGGCGTACTCTTAGCATCAGGTTGACTAGGCCAGATTCGCAAACCCCTAAGACCTCACTGGTCAATTTATTATCGTCATTCGATTGCAGCTCCTTTCACTCCGCCCTGCAGTATCGTGAGCCATTCTGATATATAAGGTTTATGATTTCAGATCTTCTCTTTCGTTCGTTCATCCATTCACTCTATTTCGAGATCTAGAGTTTCATTTTATTTTGAGCGTATTCATTTCCTTGGACCGATGTCCGATATTGAATTGATTTGTTGAAACATTGTTTTATGCAGGTGACTTTGCTGCCTTTACAATCTGTTTTACTATGTGAGTATTAGCATTCACTTATAAATATTTAATTTTCCCGAAATCGGGATTTGATATTGGTGATTCATTTTATCCATCAGACGAATTCCATTTCGCGATTCTTAAATAATTATTGAATTATTGAGAACTCACACACTTTCTGAGCGGTATGTGTTATTAGTTTACCGGGTACAGCAAGCTAATGTAGCTTTTACTGAATTGGAAAATAATTTTAAGTGCAAGATGCAAGGGTTAAGTTGATATCAGAAGTTGAGATTTTTCTTTTTAATTTATGAATATATCAGAAAACAAATGATTAGTTATGCTGTCCCCTTCGGGTTATGGAATAATGCCTTAATAGATTCCGGAATTATATTTTGCTGTGCCACACAGGCTTTAAAAAATGAAACCTCAAGGGCTTTTTCTAGTAAGGGAAAATCTCCATCAGAATCTCTTCATGAACTGAGTCAAGACTTCAATTGCGTCTTCCTGTAATCTATGTCACTTAGGATAATTAAGTCCAGTACTGGTTTACTAATGTAACTTGTAGAATGGTTATATGAACTATTGACATAAATGTTGAAGAGAAGAGAAATGTTAAGCTTCTATATAGAGTCTTGATCTAACGTCTGAATAAATCGATTTCTTACATTTCAAATTAGCTTGTGAAGCATAATGTGCTTGTTATTGCCTAAACCTATTCAACATTTGAGATAAATAATAAATAATAATTTATATTCAAAAAATAAATAAATTAATAAATTGGCTACCAAAAGAACCATCTGTCTTACTCTTTGGTTTGGCATCAATTTAATAAGTATCCTCTTCTTTTGTGCAAACTTTTATTGTTAATTTAGGTCGGACGATGAGCCTGTAGATCCAAAGCAGGAACTTGAAGAGCGATGCAAGGCACCATGTACTCGACCACTTAAAGAATATCAGGTGATTTTAACCGAATAGAAATAAACCCTCCTTTTTCTTTTTCTAATTTAATGTCTGCTTCTCCAATTTTCAAGTTTCCTGCCTTTTGTGTTCTTTTCACCTGATACTTAGTATTGCTAAAGCCTAAATGAAATGTTCTATGCATTGTACATTTTTTCAGTTTCTAGTTCTGTATTCTTTTTGTTTAAGCTGTTTTTACAATCTGATTGGAAGCTTTGTTGAACTCCTTGTAAAGTAGAGCAATGGAGCATATACCAATTGAATAATTGTGCACTGGAGAAGCATATACATATCTGCTTCCCCATTCCATTCCATTTTGATGCTTCTCATATTCTTGATATTTCAATAAAATGTTGAGCACCTCTAGCATTTGAGGATTATTACTACAAATGCTGGTGTGAGATAAGGCACACATTGTGTGTGCATATCTTTTGCACATTTGTCATCCTCATCTTTTTATGCCAAGGTGAAAAATATCTACATAGAGCATGTTTGGTCTAGATTTTTTGAGAATATATTTTATAAAAACTGTTCTCTCCCTCTCTCTTCATTTTTTTTTTTTTTTTTGGGGAGAATGTGTAGTTAGAAAGTAACGAAAAATCATGGATCCATGTGCAAATTTATTTTATTGGGAGAATATACCGTTGAAAATGAGTTTGGGGGAAAAATAAGTTTTAAAGAATCTGTATGACTATAGCAAACAGGGGCTTAATAGAAAATTTGAAGAAATTAAATTTTTGAATGGAAATTACTTTGTGACATTCATTTATACTATGTGAGATGTCTAATTTTAGTGGGCATAATGCTATGTTTATATCTGAAAAATAATCTTGTAAATTACTGATGATAATATTAAAATGTAGTTGTGGCTAGAGATAGTATAGATATTTGATCATAAGAAAGTGAAACATACATAATGATATATGTTCTGTGCATTATGTTCATTTTTTCATTAGGATGTTTACTTGCAAGAACGTGATAAAAGTTGAATATATTTGTTCTGAGGTATCTTAGGGTTAATAAATATTATGGAATTACATGTCATGTTAGTTCAACAAACATAAAAAATAACTCAGGCATAAAGGAGCAAGTTTCAATTGTGGGAGAACTTCTTGTAAATGGGTAATTTTAATTAAGAAAAGTTTCTAATGGAAAGCAGTTGATGGTAGTTGATGTGCTTATTCCTCTGGGAGAGTTGGTTTTAGTAATTAATTTAATTGTGGGCGGTGCACGAGCATTATGACAGGTTCCATATTTATGAATTAATGTCCTTTTTTCATTGACATTTATGGGTATTATGGGATTTCTGTAGTTAGAATCCGTACAACTATTTCAACATTCCCCTTTCCCCTTCTCTCTTGACACTTCCAACTGTACCTCCTTATTGTCCATTGTTCCTACATCTCCACATCCACCTACTCCAAATAATCTTGCAATTTGTTTGCATCCTCTCCTTGTTCAGTTTAGCTTCTGCATGTTTACCTCTTCTATGCATACCAAACAGATGGAAAATAAATTATTATTTTGATGGGACAGAATGGAGCTCAAGAAGCTTAACTTAATGTTGAATTGTTTCTATTAATTTCTTTCATATTGGCGGGATCGTAATTTTGGACCAAAGAATGCCCAAACTTTCCACCATTTGATGAATGCCTGTGTTTGTATGTATATTTTGAATAAAAGAGATGGCAGTACTACTTGCTAGTTGGCAGTTGACTTGTCAACAAGTCATGACTTGCTGCTGGACAATGGGTCTAACTCTAACTCTATCACCAGTTATTATTTGCAACTAAACAAGTCTTTACTTTCTGCTAGGCAATTGACGTGTCACTCGTCAGGCACCACAGATCAACTAATGAACCAATTCATGGTTGTTAGGCAATCGAGTTTGAGAATCAGACCTCCGGAAGAATTTTTTATTTCGTGTCTAAGGAACTTAAATTAGCCTTGACATGGGACAAATATGAGTTTTTTATAATAGTTCCTTATATCCATAACTGATGAACTTCATTTTCTGTGTGTGCATTCATTTATGGCTTGTGTTGTTCATGTATACTCTTTTCTTTCATCATGCTACCCTAAAAATGAAAGCTTTTGTCAATTGCAAGTGCTAATGTAAAGTTTCTGATAGGCATGTGCTAAAAGGATTCAAGGTGATGAAAGTGGGCACAAGCACTGTACTGGACAATACTTCGATTATTGGCAATGCGTTGACAAATGTGTAAGCCCATCTTTCCTGTTTACATTTATTCATCTGCTGCCTCTGTTTCGGGTATATTTCAACTGTATATTAATATTTTGTCTGTTTTGCTGCTGACATTGGTTTTTAATGCACAGGTTGCAACAAAGCTGTTTACTCATCTTAAGTAACTGGGCAAGACCTCATTGTTATGCTGGCACCAGATAAAGCTCTTTTGTTCAAAACTAGTTCAGTATTATTATATTTTTGTGAAAACCATTGATGCTTGTATGCCGCTACTTAGCTAAATGGAACGTTGAACTATGTGCCCTGCATTGCGATCAATAAAAGGAAAACTGTGGGATTGAATTCATTTGCTTTTGCAATTATTTATGTTGCTTTCGTTTAACAATTTACCGTTAAGGGTTTTGGAAAATTATTTGTTAATCTTATTTGCAGACTATTCTGAGAGTTTACTTTGTTACTAACATCATAGCTGTGAGTGCAAATCATATTTTTGGATACATGAATGGAACTTGAATGCCACTAATGGTTCAACTGTCGAATAAATGAGGCATCGCATCCTTAATGCATCTTACGGTCTAATGCTGATGTTTTGGTATGTTGTGGCGTATGGATAAATGGAACCTGAACGAATGATTCCTTGTTTTCTCTCTTATTTTCTCTCTTTTGGACGTAGTTAGGATAAACCTTTTTATATTGCTCCGGTACATCTTGGAAGACATCAGCGAACTTTAGCACAGCATTATAATGTTCTATATTGGTATTGTCCCATTTGTATGCGGACTTATTTAGAGAGAATGATTTTTTTGGTCCCCTGTTTCAGGAGAGAATATTTTCGTGTATATAACTATATATAATTTGGATTGTGGAATGAAAAAATAAAAATAAAAGATTGACCATGTGGAAGTTTTGTCTAATTCGATTCAACCCTTTTGTCTAATTTGAACATCTTTTACATATTTCCAAAATTGATTTTCAGTTCAATTCTTTTTTCTTCTCTTCACTTAGACGGACATGTTTACATTTCATGTTCAGATGTAATTGAAAGTAAAAAGGGAACATCTCGTGAGTCTTGGAAAATCACAAAATGAGTTAATTATTTAAGTCATTGTCGTGGATCCTTCACTTTTGTTATATCTATGCGGTACGTGGATTGTTAAGTGAAACATCCATGCAGATTTTGTTGAGAGTTTACAAACTGTGCTTATCTTGCCTCTATCGTCATTTCGATTTCTCTAAAAGGCATCGAGAAAATATCGAATCGTTTTATATTTGAATATGACTTCAATTATCTTTTGAGCCCAACAAAATTCGCCTATTTTATGAGAAGTAACATTCTGAGTCTAACTCTCGTGAGAAATCAAGGTTTGAGTATTTAAATTTGGGTAATTAGCACAAAACGTCCCTACCTTTCGATGTTTTTGTGGAAAACGTCCCTACCTTTCATTTTTTGGCGGATTACACCCTCACCTTTACCTTTTTTTTTGCGCAAAACGTCCTTCTATCAACTCTCCGTTAAAATGTTCCGTTAAATCAAAAAGTAATTAGCACAAAAGGTCCCTACCTTTCAATATTATTGTGCAAAACGTCCCTACCTTTCATTTTTTGACATAATTAATACAAAAAATCCCTACCTTTTAATGTTATTATGCAAAACGTCCCTACCTTTCATTTTTTTTAGCATTTTCACCCCTACCTTTCACCTTTTATTGCGAAAAAGGTCATTCTCATCCATTTTTTCAATAAAATGATGATTTTACCCTCTTATTCAAATAAAACAAAAAGAAAAGAAAAGAAAAATAAATAATTAATTGTAATCACAGTCCTAAATCTTTCAAAACATTACAAATAAATTCTAAACTTTCCACTACCGCCACTTTCATAACCTCACCAAGCCACCACCTATAGATCCATATAGCACTACCTTTTGGCCACAACACCTATCGGACTCCACCACCACCAGCCTCACCTCACTCTTCCCAATATCCTCCATAGTATTGGTCACCAATCTGTCCAAAACAACTACATTTACGGTGGTAGAGTCTGATGGGAATGGTGACAGAAATGTGGTATTATATTGATTTATAGTTGGCAGCTTGATAGGTTGTAAAAGTGGTGGCGGTTGGAAATTTATGATTTCTTTGTAATTTTTTAAAAAATTAAGGATTATGGTTGCAGTTGGTTATTCATCTTTTCTTTTTGTTTTATTTGAATATGAGAGTAAAATCGTCATTTTATTGAAAAAATGGATGAGAAGGACATTTTTCGCAATGAAAGGTGAAAAGTATGGATAAAAATGCTAAAAAATTAAAGGTATGGACGTTTTGCACAATAACATTGAAAGGTAGGGACCTTTTGTGCTAATTATGTCAAAAAATGAAAGGTAAGGACGTTTTGCACAATAATATTGAAAGATAGGGACCTTTTGTGCTAATTACCTTTTTTGATTTAACGGAATATTTTAACGGGGAATTGACAGAAGGACGTTTTGTGCAAAAAAAAGGTAAAGGTGAGGATGTAATCCACTAAAAAACAAAGGTATGGACATTTTCCACAAAAACATCGAAAGGTAGGGACGTTTTGTGTTAATTACCCTTTAAATTTTGGTGTTGCCTCTCTTGGAAGATACTATTTTATCTTTTCCAAAACAATTTAGAGCTTGTTTGGAAGTGATTTTTTCCTCCAAATAATTGATTTTTTGACCATTATTTCAGTATCATATTTAACCTTTTCTTTTACAAATGGACTCCATTTTTTCCTAACGATCAAAAAATTAATTCGCAAAATCCCTCTAAAAAACAGGCTCTTAAATACGTACGAGTTAACTGATAGTCCGAATTCGTGTTCGCAACACATGATCCTCGCAAATTTTTTCCCTCGGGTAGTCGGGGTTCAATTTGTTTTTCGTTCTCTAAAACCCTCGTTACAGAACAAAACTTCTGTATAGGAATTAAACCCCGTCTACAAGACGAGATCCTCTGCTAATCCGATGACACCAAAAATGCATTTTATTGCTTATCACAATTCCAATCCTAAAACCACTCTCGGACCACCCTCCACGCCGCCGATTTCCGCCTCATCGTCGTCCACAGCCTCTCTACAGTCCGGTAAGAGGACCAGGGATCTTCCAAATTTATATGATTGTCATTGCTGCGGGATCCGAATTAATCACGGCAACCCGGAAGATCGGCTGCAACCATTGGACAGCGTCTGGCGCATTGTTCTGCTCTGTAGAAAATGCAGCAAGAAAGTTCAATCCGGCCAAACATGCTCTTACTGCTTCAAAGAAACGGCGAATTCAGGTAATATTATTAGATGCCGTGATTGTGGTCGCCGAATTCACCAAGTTTGTGTTAAGAATTATGGGGATTGCACGCCGTGGTGTTATATGGGGCTAGGGTTAGGGTTTAGGGTCTGTGTGGATTGTTGGGTTCCGGATTTGCGAAAGAGTTCTGTCAGGATTCATAGGAGGAGTGATAGTAAGGTTGTGGAGAAATCTTGTGCAAATGAGAGGGATTTGAAAAACTGTTGGCAGAAGGGCAAGAAATATGGGGTGGAGAAGACGGTGAAGATGTTAGCCATTGGAAAGGAGAAGGCCTTGAGGAAGTCTGTGGAGGCGAAGAATGCAGTGAAGTTGGCAGAAAATGCTTTGGATATAGCAGATAAGAATGGTAAGAAAGGTGATAGTGGTAGTAGCAATGCACTTGAGCTAGTTGATGATGTGGAATTTGCAATTCAATTGCATCGTGCAATGAATAGTTCACCAAGGATTTTGAGGGATAAGTGCATAGGGAAGTCAACTTGTTTCGAGATTTTGAAGAGTAGGGATTCCGTTAGTTTGTCTTCTAAAAGATCGGGTTTAGGAAGGAATAATAGTGAAGATTCGAATCTGGACACATTTATTAATGTTATGGAGAATGAAATACTTATCAGGACCGGAGAGAATGATTCTTGCCTTCAAGTTAGTAAATTGAAACAGGGACTATTAACTTACAAGAGGGACAGCAAGAGGAAGTTATGGCAAGTAGATGTCGAAGACTTTGTGGTTTCTGAATCTAAGTGTAGTCAGCAAGATGATTCAAGGGACGAGTTACATTTGGATGGCTCTAAGTCTGCTTGTCAATTGAGATTCAATGGTGATATCTACAAGCGAGACAAAAAGAGGAAGTTATGGCATATAAATAATGACAATGCCATGGTATCTGAATCTATTTTTAATCTGCAAGATGATTTGCAATACAATTTACACTCGAATGGTGCTAAGCCTTGGTGTCCATCGAGTATTAATGGTGATACTTTACAGGAGGGATAAAAAGAGGAAGTTTTGGCAAGGAGATGATGACGGTGTCATGGTTTCTAAATCTAAGTTTAATCAGCAAGATTTAGAGTGGCCTTTGAACCTCAGTGATGCAATACAAAGATTTGGGCAAGAGCCCATAATTTACAAGAACACTAGGTTCAAGTTGAAGGCATGCCAAGAAATTGGCAAGGCAATTGTATTTGGAGAATGCAATTCCGGTCTTGACAAGAGAGTGGCCTTGGAACCTCAGTATCATCAGCGAGATGATTTAAAACATGAGTTGCCTTTGGAAGACAGTAGTAATAATTTTACTGTAAAATGTGATGCTGAGATAACTTTGTCTAATGGAAGTTACAAAGCAGAGCCTGAACGCCATTTTTTTAAGTATATTTTGAGTTGAACAAGTGCCAAATCGGGCTCAATTATTGAAGCCGAGCTGCATTCTGATGCATCTCGGAATGAAAATCAGGCTTCAGTTACTTCTTTGGTTAATAGAAAGATTAGTTGTTTTGTGAAGTGTGATAACAAAATGATTTTGTCAGGTGGAAGCTTATACAAAGAAGAGCCCTAGGTATAGCAGGTATAAAAGTTGTTTGTGACTCCTACTTTTTCTTTTACTGATGAAATTCAATGTTTTTACATTTCCCAAAAATATGCATTATTAGTAGTAGAGGCAAGT